AGACCCCCGTTTGGTGGATCATGGGGTCATAGAACCCCTGGAGGAGTCGCCAAGACCTCGTGTAGTCAGAACGTGGAGTCATGGAACCCCGGAAGTTGGTGCCAGTGACCCTGTGTGGTGTGAACGTGGGGTCATGGAGCCCCCGCGGCTGACGCCAGAGACCCTTGTGTTGAGGCCGTGGGGTCATGGAGCCCCGGCAGGTGGCGCCAGACGCCCCACTGTGGTGAGTACGAGGGGTCATGGAGCCCCCGCGGTTGACAGCAGAGACCCCGTGTGTTGAGTCCGTGGGGTCATGGAACCCCGGCGGGTGGCGCCAGGACGCCCTATGGTGAGAACGTGGGGTCATGGAGCCCCCGGAGGTGGCGCTTGGGACCCCGTCTGGTGAGAACGTGGGTTCATAGACCCTCCGGTGCATGCCGTATACAGTGAAGAAATAATTAGAAACAATGAAGAATAATGAATTAGTTAATAGCATTAGTCAATATTAGAATATTTAGATAATATTAGTTCTAAGCTGAAAAACGAAGACAACCGACGAGGGAACTTGGTTTTTTATAGGTTTAGGCTTAAGGAAGAAGTCATCCGCCGATGGATTTAATAGTTAAGGATAAAAATTAAGGATAAAAATTTGTATTTTAAAGTTTTTCAAAAAGACACGCTGTTGTAACAGATTTAAATACTTACAAAAATATTAAATACTTTACAGTTATTTCATTCCTATGTAAAAAAGATTTAAGTACTATGCATAGTATATTTCGCGCTTATATTTATGATCCACACGCCATACAGGCATCTCCATTTTCACGGGAACACGCAAGCACGGCTTCAATTTCCTCACTACTTTGATTCTGTAACCATCCATTCTTTCGTACAGGCGTATATTCTTCTTCCGCCCCGTTTTCTGAATTAAGAGACTGATTAGCCAATGTGGTAGTGGTAGTCTGTAATTTTGATTTATCAACTGTAAATTGAAGCGCATTCGCTGCTGGCTTTGTTCTTAAGTAGTACATTCCGGTCTTCAAACCCTGTACGTAGGAAAACATAGTATCAACTTATTAGTAACATTATTATAATACTAATAAAAGAAAGACACTGAATTAACAAAACTGAAAAACTACCATTTTCCATCCATAAAAGTGCATTGAAGTCAACTTTTCCGCCGTTGGTTGAGCCATATGAACATTTAATGATTGCGATTGATCTATAAAAGCACCGCGATCTGCCGCCATTTTTAAGATACTTTTTTGTGATATTTCCCAGACTGTTTTGTAAAGTATTTTCAGATCCTCTGGTATACGTTCTATATTCTACATAACACAAAATAGGTTGTGTGATTCTTTTCAAAACGTATCATAATAATAGAATAGTTTAAAATTATTAACCTGAATAGAACCATTATTTGCAATAATCTCATTCTTCATGTCCTCGTCCCAGAGATCTCTTTCAGTTAAATCTCTTAACAAATGAGGATTCACGACTTGAAATTCTCCAGACAGTACTCGCCTTGTATAGATGTTACTCGTATATGGTTCAACAGACTCATTATTTCCTAAAATCTGTGCGGTAGAAGCTGTTGGCATAGGTGCAATTAACAAAGAATTTCTAACTCCGTGTTTTGCAATTTTTTCTTTCAATACACTCCAGTCCCACAATTTAGTTGGGGTAACGTTCCACATATCATATTGAAGGATCTAAAAATATATTAATATTTCTTGTGTCACATTTTTATTCTCCTGTATTTTAATTTTTAAATACAATAAAATCCCTCCAGCATTAATTAGTAAGTTTCGATTTAATATAAAAATGTGTACACAGTGAAATACTTACTCCTTTACTAACTGGACTACCGTCGTATGTTTCATATGTACCCTTTTCCATGGCAAGCTCACAACTGGCCTCTAAGGCACTATAATACATTGTTTCAAATATCTGGACATTAAGATTTTGTGCCTCTTCACTTTCAAATGGATACCGCATTAAAAGAAATGCATCAGCAAGTCCTTGTATTCCAATACCTAAAAAATGAGTAAATAAACATGTGTTGTTCTGCATATCTGTATATAATAAATAAAAACATTTACCAATAGGCCTGTGCCGTAAGTTGGACTTTTCTGTTTCTGGAATTGGATAATAGTTGACATCAATTACTTTATCCAAATTCTTAGTGACTATTTTTGTCACTTTACGGAGTTTTTGGAAATCGAAGGTTTTAGTAGCGGAATTCACGAACATATTGACGGCAATCGAAGCTAAATTGCATACAGCGACTTCGTCTGGACTGGAATATTGTACGATCTCTGTACACAAATTACTACATTTAATTGTTCCTATATTTTGGTGATTTGATTTACGGTTGCAGTGATCTTTATACAGCATGTAAGGAGTCCCTGTTTCCACTTGTGCCATTAGAATAGCAGTCCATAAGTCTCTAGCTTGAATTTGTCGTTTATATCTCTTTTCATTTTCATATCTACGAGAAAACATTTATACAAGATTAAATATTTAATTTTTTTTTTTATACGTTCTATTAATTACGATATATTGTACCGTGTATAAAGGGCTTCAAATTCATCACCCCATACATCAGGTAAACCAGGGGATTCATGGGGACACATTAAAGTCCAAACACCATTTTCCAAAACCCTTTTCATGAAAAGGTCAGGAATCCATAAAGCATAGAACAATTCCCTTGCTCTGTTTTCTTCTTTACCTATTAGATGCAGTTAAATGTAACGTTATATAAATAAGAATATACTGCAATATTTTGTAAACTTGTATTACCATAGTATAGAGTATTTATATGATTATTCAGCAAATTACCTGTATTCTTTTTGAGATCTAAAAATTCAAAAATATCTGCATGCCATGGCTCTAAGTATATGGCAAATGCTCCTGGTCTTTTATTTCCACCTTGATCAACGTATCTAGCTGTATTATTATACACCCTAATCATTGGAATTAACCCATTAGACACACCAAGTGTACCAGCTATTGGTGTTCCTCTTGCTCGAATACAATGAACGTTAAGCCCAATGCCACCAGCTGATTTACTGATAAGCGCACACCTTTTTAATGTGTCATAAATGCCATCTATACTATCTTCAGTCATCGTCAGAAGAAAGCAACTAAATAAAAGGAAATAAGTGGTGTATCATTAAATTGAGATATTTAAATCAGATTGTATTGAAATATATATTAGTATAACATGATAAGATATCACTTACCTAGACATCTGCTGCCTCAAAGTACATGCAGAGAAGAGTGTTGGTGATGCATGTGTAAAATAACGTTCTGATAAGAAATTGTATGTTTCTATAGCTCTGTCAATGTCTTCACCATGGATAGCAACTGAAACCCTCATTAACATATGTTGAGGTCTCTCGACAACTTTCCCATGTATCTTTAGTAAATAACTTCTTTCAAGAGTTTTAAAACCAAAATAATTGTAACTGAAATCTCTGTCATAAATTATTGCCGAATTTAATTTATTTGCATTATTTTGTATAATGTTGTAATAGTTCTCATTGATAACAGGTCTGGATTCATTTGTATACTGTTCCTTCACATAATACAAATCTTGTATTACCTCTGTCCATGAAACAAAATGAAGGTTGCTTAGTGGATTACATAAATATAAGATATGAAATGATAATGGTAATATATCATTTATTTGTACCACTAAAAGTTTTCTTTGTTTCCTTGTGCAAATTAGAAACTGCAATTCTTGCTGCCAATATTGCGTAATCAGGATGTTTAGTAGTCATAGTGGCTGCAGTTTCGGCTGCAAGATTATCTAACTCAACTGTACTGACGCCTGAGTATAATCCACTGATGACACGGAAGGTAATTGCAGACTATAAACAAGCAATTAAAAATTAAATATAATATCAATACAATCTTATCTTAAATCTGTGATCTATATGTATATATATACATATTTCTGTAAGATAGAAGGCATAAGTAATAAAACTTTTATTCAAGATAAAATTAAATAAGTTTCACTTAAGATCATGAATGATCAGTAGATATTTGGTTATTAAACTTACAGGGTCCACATAATCCATGTCTAGATTGTAACATAATTTTTGAATTCTGGACGTTATTTTGTCAAAATGAACATTTTCTTTGCGCCCATCTAGCAATAGTAATTGGTTTAATGTCACAGAGAATCATGTTAGTCATGTAATACATTTAAATTTTATAAAGTAACCATGCAAGTATATCAATAAATTGCACTTTGTAATACTTACTACGCTTTATTACATACATCTTCCCCTTTCCAACCATCTTTTAATCAATACAATGAGTTCTACAAACAAAGATTCCTTTTTAATTTCTCTTGACCCTATGCAACCCTATGAAAGCACAATTTTTCCAGTTTATGTCCTCAGTAGCTTTTGGCGCGAAGCGGAAGCGTAATGGTCGATTGTGGTGGTCACGCGTACTAGTACTTCTGTCGTTTGTAGTTCGAATATGAAGATTCAAGAAACGGTTTCTCAACCCATATCCATCGTCTCTCGCATATGCGATACAATATTTAAATAAATTTATCACCAGCTGTTATTAAATTACTTTTCCTTGGTGATGATGATTCGAAGACATACTTTTGCCCAATATAATCGTGGTAATTTTAACTTACAAACATTCGAATACTACTTGTAACTGTATACGCAAATTATTTTCAACTACTGTGCTGTACTCGCAGTTTCATAGGCTTAACAAAATTTGGAATAATAATTAAAACATTATGGATTATCAGATTCGTTAAATGTCATAAAAACATTTTACTATATATTTCCATGGAATACATGGTTGTGGGCTCTAACTATATTGCCATGGCCGGGGCTGTAGGGAAGTGAAATGGCAATGAAGTCAAAGCCCCCTTAGTTTTATTGAACAATTAAAAAATATATTCCTCGAATATATTAAATAATATATATTCCTCTTTCTTAAAAGACATCCGTATAAAATAGTTCAAGGTTTTTGTAAAACCAACTACCGTAATAGGAATCGATATCTACCCGAATTTCCTTTCTTTGTAATTGTCTTAGAAACGATCGTACCCCTGGAACTGTTTCAAGAACCGATATCGATATTATAACATTTTATCAACCCCCGATTAAAATATTTCAATGTACCGTTTGACTGTTGGTTAAACACCACCGTACTGTTTCGATATACTTTCGTCGATGTGGTTTATAAATGTTTTATGTTAGTACAGAGTCAACACAAATGGAATGCTTCCTGCTTCGCGCAGACTCAAGATCAGATCTGGCCCACTCTGTTTTAAGCGTGTTCCTCAAAGAAGGGAGTAATTCGCGGTCATTGGTGTGTCACAATCGGTTATTAGTGGTCTCGGGGCCCTCTCATCATTCACATAGCACACCTAAATATAGAGTGACACTGTGGCACTAATTTGTTGAATGAAACGATAGGTGTGTTGGTGCTTGGGGGACTAAACGGCATTGTGGGGTAGATCTCTGGGGTACAGCAGAAATCTCGACGCTCGCCGTACGCGAGCACGAACCGTGAGCGTAACGACGCGGGCCGACGCACAACACACGCTCCGTAAAAATTTTCTATTTTTTTTTTTTTTTTTTGGTTTTACTTTTTCTTGTCTCACCTACGACGGTTCGTCGGCTGTTAATATCGACGCAAGTGGAAAACCTGTTCGGAACCGGTCGTGAAAATTGTGCACGTACGTAACAATTGCTCCAACTGCATGGCGAGAGATTAACAATCTTCGTTTTCGTGAACGAGAAATCACGGTCGCTAATGAAGTGTCGGGGTACTACTTAAACAGTGATCGCGTTACAAGTTCACTTGTGTGTTTAACTGTTCCTTTACATATTTCAAGAGTAGTCTATTCTTTTCGTATTTCTATTGGGAAGTATCGGAATTACCTATGACGGTAAACATACGAATCGGATAACTTAAGAGACGGGGAGAAAACGTCTTTGACATTGCTTATTAATCACGCTTGCTCCTTAAACAGAAGAAGATAAATATGTTTCCGGGCTTACTTGATATATTAATCGATTATATATCATGCCGATTGAACAAATTATCTCGTTACTCGATATTGTTTCATGCGTAGATTGGGAAGATTACATAACAATTCGACGATGTATATTTACAGTGGTATAAGGATTTTCGAGGTTGTCGAAACACCAAGTGGAAGTGTTCTAAACATTATTTATCTCCATTGGTTCAAGTTGGTTACTATGCAATTGGTCTTATTATACAATTGAAGCGCAGAAGTTATAAATTGTTTCATTCTCGGATTAGCGTCTTTATAGGGCGTTGCATCCCGTGAATTCGGCAACGGTCCCGCGACCGTTTGTTTGTACGTACAACGGAAGGTCTGGTCGATTTTTTACGTTGTTCGTAGACGGTACCAATCATTGTTTAACGGTGAACGGATTGAGCACTTAAGGTGGAACGACAGTGCCGCGCGACGAATAATTTTCTACTTCCCATCTGGCGAATTGGACATTTAAATCGGCGGGACGCGATTGCGTCGAGACGCCCGGCCGATCGTGGTTCGTTGCTCCAACGGGATGATCGCCGATGACATCGTTTCTTTCACCGATGGTTAATTTAAAATGGGACAAGGTTGCCCCGATGGGAACAACGTTTGACAAACGTGATTCCCGGAAGTGGCTCGTTGTCTATCATCCATCATCATCAAGACCCTTGCACAGAAGTGTCACGTAACGACGATGACCGCTGGACATTTAAAGTTCTTCAGTAATGATCCCATGTCATCTTTCACCCGTTGTTCGTCACGAACCCGTTATCGTCGGTATTTCCATTCGATTCGCGAAAATTTCCAAACTCGAAGGACCATGGAATTTGTAGTTTCTCAAATGAAAACGCTTGTGTTCGTAGATTTCATCGAGCCCCGGGATAGAATGAGGTGAATTTAATCGATCTAGGATTCCTGACGAAAAATAATGCCTTCGAGCGGATCAGCTAAAGTGCCCAGAGTAGACAGGTCCACGAGTCCTCTGCCGCGCAAACCCGCGAATCCTGTCCAGGAATTGAAAGCTCTGTTCGCCGAATCGCCCTCGAGAGTCACCAATGGCGGCAAAGAACCGGATTTCCGCTTCGAGGCGATACAGTGCTTGCAAACTACCGTTTTCAAAGAGCCCAAAGCGTTGCCGGATAGAGGAACATGGAGCAGCAAGGTGAACGCGTGAAAGTTTTCATACGATCAACAGGACGGGATTTACTGAAAATGATCGGAACAATATTTCTCCAGGTCGAATTCATCCTATCGGTAGTTGGATTGGCAATAGGACTAGGAAATTTATGGCGATTTCCTTACCTCTGCTATAAAAATGGCGGCGGTGCGTTCATGGTTCCTTACTTCATCGCGCTTGCACTTGCTGGGGTACCTATGTTCTTAATGGAATTGTCTCTGGGTCAGATGATGACCATCGGTGGATTGGGTGTCTTCAAGATAGCTCCAATTTTCAAAGGTTTCAATTCTTAGTTATTTTTTTTTTTTTTTTAATGAACTAGCGTTGTACGATCTTTTTTTCTTTTATGAACAGGTATCGGGTATGCCACTTGCGTGCTCTCCTGTTGGACGAATGTGTACTACATCATTATCCTGGCGTGGGCACTATTCTATTTTTTAGTGTCGTTACGAATCGGTATGGAAATATATTGTTGATTTAACAAGGAACGTTAATTTAACAAGAAACAACGTTCTTTTTTCATTAACAAAGTTATACTGGTCGTGTAGAATTACCCTGGAGAACGTGCAACAATGCCTGGAACACGCGGTACTGCCTCACCCCCGTGGAACGTGTGGAAGCGTTGTGTTGGCCCGAAAACAACGACACCATATGCGCTACTTCGATCGGTAACTTCAGTCAGACCTTGATGAAGGATCCGGTGAAAGAATTTTGGGAGTAAGTTCTTCTAACAGTGAGACTATCGAATTCTTACGTTACTGTACAATGACAAGTACTGGATTGGTTCTTTTTTCTCGAAAAGGCGACGCACCCTTCAGATCTCCGATGGTGTAGAAAATGTTGGCTCTATAAGATGGGAACTGGCGGGTACACTGGCCGTTGTTTGGATCATGTGTTACTTTTGCATTTGGAAAGGAGTGAAATGGACCGGAAAAGTATGCTCAAAGTTGCGATGTATGTACTGAAAAAAAGTGAAACGCATATTTTATTAATCGGTAATCCCATTTAGGTCGTTTATTTTACATCATTGTTTCCCTACGCTTTGCTGGCGGTCCTGTTAGTGAGAGGATTAACGCTTCCGGGTGCAATGGAAGGTTTAAGGTATTATGCAACGCCGAACCTTTCGAAACTTAGCGACCCAGAGGTATCATAAAATTAATTTTTTCCTATTTTCTTCTGTACCACACGTCCTGTTCGGTTTGTATCGTAATTATATAAATATTCGTAGGTCTGGATAGACGCAGTGACGCAAATATTTTTCTCTTACGCGTTGGGTCTTGGCGCATTGGTTGCTCTTGGGAGTTACAACAAATTTAATAATAATGTTTACAAGTAAGTAAATTAAAATATAGTGATTTCTCTCCAAGCACATATACAACACTGGAACAACAACAACAATGAGAAACAATTTGTATTTTTCCAGAGACGCGCTTATTGTTTGTACAGTGAATTCTTGTACCAGTATGCTCAGTGGTGTTGTCATATTTTCTGTAGTAGGTTTCATGGCCCATGAACAACAAAAACCCGTTGCAGATGTAGCTGCATCCGGTAACTATATTTATATATATATGATTCCTAATTAAATAATAATATTCGCTATATATGTATTACCTTTAATTTTGTTTTGCTTTTCTAATTCTATCCACTAGGTCCAGGACTAGCTTTTCTGGTTTATCCATCAGCAGTTCTGGAGCTACCCGGATCTTCCATCTGGTCCTGTTTATTCTTTTTCATGCTTATACTTATCGGTTTAGACAGCCAGGTAATGTAAAATATTTTAATAATACTGTCATCGATAATTACGACCAATTAGTATGTTTTATAGTTTTGTACAGTTGAAGGCTTCATAACAGCCGCGGTAGACGAATGGCCGCATCTTCTTCGAAAACGGAAAGAAGTGTTCATAGCAATCGTGTGCTTTCTCTCATATCTTGTTGGTCTTAGCTGTGTTACTGAAGTATGTGTCTGACAATATTTAAATATTGAAATTCACTGAGGAGACACAATAAAAATATTACTATACTACTTTACAGGGAGGAATGTATGTATTTCAACTCTTGGATTCATACGCAGTGAGTGGATTCTGTCTTCTCTTTTTAATGTTTTTCGAGTGCATCGCTATCTCTTGGGCGTTCGGCGTAAATCGTTTTTATGATGGTATTCGAGACATGATTGGTTATTATCCTTGTGGTTGGTGGAAAATCTGTTGGACATTCACTACTCCTCTCATTTGTGTGGTAAGATACTCTATTACAAAGTACAGTTTATATTTCAATATCATATAATAATGGGAAATTTCTAATTAGGGTGTCTTCACGTTCAATATAATTAAGTTTTCCCCTGTAAAATACCTTACGTATGAATATCCATGGTGGAGTCACTTGTTAGGATGGCTTTGTGGTCTTTCATCAATGCTGTGTATCCCAGGTTATATGATTTACATTTGGTGTAAAACGCCAGGAACTACCTCTGAGGTATATAAATTACAAGCTATCAATTATCTTAATAATATAACTTTGTAATGCTTATAGTCGTTAATTTTGCGTTTCAGAAATTTCGCAAATTGGTAAGAATCGACGACGATGTTGCCACCTTACGAATGAAACTGAATCCAACAAATACTGCCACTATGAATGCAGATCTAGAACTATAAGTGTCATTGTGCCAAAAATGCATGTGTGTTATATTAAAGTATGACTGGAAAGAAGCATGGTTTCATACATTGAGCAGTACCATATCACGTAATCATGTAATCATTATCATAACAAATAAACAATGTCTGTATAAAATGAAATGCGTCGACAATAACAAGGTACAAATTTATAACACAAGTAAGGGCTTGCAATTTCTACATCTAGAATATAATTAAGGTAAAATAAATACTTTTATTTTCTTGTAACTTACACACTGTCAGACTTTACTAACATGTACCATTGAAGTGTATTATAGCTATAACATATAGAAAGTTGTAAGACAAAAAGAATGGTAATTTCATTTTTATTAATAAATTAATGAAATTTGTAATTGAATGAAACAGAAAGAGACCAAAAATTAAATTCTCAGCTTACAATAGATCACATATGCAACTTTATGTAAAAGTTATGATTAAAATATTTTAATTTAAGCTTCCCTATTTTGCATTTCCTTAATGCGTCCAATCAGTTGTTCCTTCCATTGTTCTTCAGATATAGTGTTTGCCCAATCTGGAATTGCTGTTGTCGGTAGAGTGAAAGATGCCATCATTGATTTCACTTGATTGATCTTATCTGCATCCATATCAATGTTCGATCGATTACGAGAAGATGACCAAACTTCAATTGTCTCTGACATACAATCCTTCGCAAAATACATGTACAATATTGATAAAAAATATATAAAAATTCTATTATCAAATGAATTTACACAAATACGTACATGATGGGAATCTAATGTCGGTAGTGACAATGTCTGACTAGGTTCATCATTGTTAGATACCCATTCATCATCCTAAAAGTTAATACATGGATTTGTAATATAAACGTTTGTTACATACACATACACATTACGAACAGATTGACTTACTTCGTCTTCGTATAACATTGGATCGCTATCTGTAGGTATTTGAGACAAGGGTTCGTATCCTGCCATTCCTACATCATCATCTTCACTATCTGATTCAGTTACTGCTCTAGCTTCAAATTGTACATTTGCTGCAGTTAATGCTTCCTCGATTGGTTGTTGTGTAGGGTCAGGAGACATTGTGCATTACTTTTTTTAAATACTAAATGCGTTCTTTGTTTCCTCTAAATATACATATCAGCTGTTACGGATACAGTCGAAAATTCCTAACCTTGTTGTTTTATATATTACAATAACTTTTGTACTAGATCTTGCAAACTGTTAACTATGTAAAATCAATAATAGACTTCTAATTATACCATTAAGCTACTTGTTGAAATAGTTCAAGCTAAACGTATTTTAAATACGAAGAAAAGCGATCACAACAGAGACGTTTGACACTCACAGCTGATTTACCTCTGTAACTGCATTGCTGCTCCGATGGTACATAAGAAATTCATTGTATATACCGATAATATAGATAGTGACATAATGATAAATGATGATTTGAAATAAAAAAAAAACAAATAATAAATTGAAACTTTAATATGTACATGGTTGGGTGAATTTCTTGGTGCTCTAATTAGAAATTTTTCAACCGATACAAATACGTATCGACAGGTATGTTCAATGGCAACTTGACAATATTATTGTTAGAATCACAATTATTACTTTAAAAATAATATAAACTTAAAGAAGAAATGGTGAAAATTACAATAATGCAATTGTATTTAATATACATTATAAAAATGATCACTTTTTGGACAGAATCCACGAATAATTGTTTCGGGATATATGCGAACAGGAAAGAGAATCTCGCGCGTGAATGGGAGCGAAAGTAAAAACATCTTCGCGTCTGATTTTTTGTAATTTATAATTAATGGTAAAGTTTTCTTGTTTTACAGTAATCGAACAGTTATTAATAGTCTAATTAATTTTTCGATTAATTTTTATACAAACAAAAAAAAGGGTGAGTTACACTCAACGGCGTAGCACGAACCCCTGCCACCCTCGTTCGCGCACGGAGAAAAAGAAAAAGAAATAATCGTAACACGTCTCTCACGCTGCGTTTTCATCGCACATTCCTCTTTCTACACACACCCGACACGTACACATCTTTACGCTTCGATTCGTCCCACGTATAAACCGTTTATCGATCGATCCAGGCGAAAATTCCTGTCCGGGATCGTTCCGATGACAGAGTTTCGGACTCGTTCCCATCTAATTCCACTTCCCCGCGCCTGTTTACCTTCGCTCTTATCCCCCCCCCTTTCACCCTTTCACACGCATACACATACCAAAAAAATATACTACCCCGTTCCGTCTTTTTCTGTCGTTATCCGCGCGCGTTTGGCTTTACACAAACACACACACCTTTAACGCACGCGACAAGAAACAGTTGCGTCAGAAAAAGCCGGAGGAGACGCAATTAAAAACACGCAATCGGTGACGCACATACACACATGCCATACAAAGAAAAAAAACAGGTTCATTCATTCACAGACGGTCCATCTTCCGGTCACACAAGCGTACACTGTCTCCCGTATAAATAAAATAATTCTATATTAATGCGAAGTGTCATTTTGTGTACACGAACAAAAAAAAAAAAAAATAGAACGCAATCCACGGCTCAGCACACGCGCACACACATACACGCTGGAGGTTCACCGCTTCCGGTGCCCCCGTGTCCCCGTTCGCTCTACTCCTTAACATCCGGCTTGCAGCGCTACGCTCGCTGCCCACACTTTTCCGTCCCCATGTTCTCCAAACCGCAATTATCTCGTAATCGTAACGTAAACTTAATCGTTTCAACTTAAAACGAGAGAAAAAAAAAAATTGGTAACCACCGTGTCGCGCTGGGTCCCCGCGGCGCAAGCCACACACACCGTGTTTCCTCCTCAATCGGGGGAGGGGGGGGGACGCCTGATTGTACATCGACGCCGGTCGAGAATCGACGCGCGATCGACACGGGGCGCGTCTACGTGGGAATCTTCAGAGCGAAAGGTGATTTCTGTGTGATCGTTACTTGCTATAACAATATTTATGTTTGCAAATGTACCCGAAACAAAGGTTTTCGTTTCTGTTTCTTCGTCGTCGAATCAATCGTTCGAAAGAAAGAAGAGAAAACGAGGTGATATTATGATAGACAGTTATGTAAATGTTAATGACTTTTGTAATTCGATGCGAATCCTCAGGAATGTAGAAACGAGGAACAAAGACACACCTTTCGTCCAGCTCGCACGGTGTTCCCGTGTCGAAAAGCAGGAACGCCCAATTAATATTGTCGATCCTCGATCCTTTCGCCGATCGACGCAAAGAATCGAATTTTCGTATTCGCGACGGAGAAGGAACTCGATTGAATCGGCGTGTACCGCGTAATCGGGCGATCATCTATCGAGTCGCGATTATAAATCACCCCCGCCCCCCTTCCCTCCCTTCCCAATCGTGTCGCTCACGTTTTCCATCGTGTGTACAATATACATTTATTTTATTTATTCATTTATTTATTTAGATTTTTTCCTTTTGCCTTCGAAGTGGTGTCGCGTTGCGGGACGAGTTCGGGGCTCACTTACGATCTAAACAATTACTCCTTAATATTACATATATATTCTATACGTCCAGCGCATAGAAACATAAATAAATAAATATAAACGGATTGTATTTACACAATACTCGGGTGAATCTGAGGAATTGAAGGGTTGAAGGGGGGGGAGGGATTATTTGAAAGTGGATGGGAGATAGGGGTAGGAAAGGAGTACAGTATATCTGATATATTTCATTCACGGCAGCTATATACTATAGCTCTATATATATATATATATTTATGTGTATGCTATTTATATTGTTGTCCATGGTTTGTTTCTTTAGTCTTCTCTTTCGGTTACGTGGTATACATAGGGTGGCTTGAAATATTGCGGTACAATCTGGAAAGAATCGATACACTGGTCGCCCCAAATAAATTGAAATTATAGAATAAGAAAATTATTCTATTTTTTCGATTTAGTTTTACGACGTTGTACTCGTTTCTCCGCCGGTTGCTCAACGTATTTCGAGTTTAATGTAGAAAAATAATACTTCGGGGGACACGAGAAAGGAAAACTGAGAAGTAACCATATAATATAATATTATAGAAGCATACTGTCTTATTTAAGGTGATTATGTATGTACACGGTGTCCCAAAGTGAGCGTCCTCTGATAAGTCCTTATTTCTCGTACGGAATCTATAGTTTCCGTTATCTTAATTTTCTTCACGGTTCAAGGTGATATTAAAATCAGTTCAGCAATCTGAAGATGATTTGCAACGGATAAACAGAGCAAGATCGTATTCTATTACTTTTTTTTCCCTTTCTACGTAACGAATATAATTCTGGATTCGATTCAAAGGACACTCGTCGTTGGAGCAGCCTGTAGAATTTCTTGTGCGTGTTGGTGTTCTGTTTTGTTGAGGTAGAAGCGGTTTCGTATACACTTATATATTACACATCGTTATGCAGTCGGTAAATGCGCGAGACCTGATTAACGGTCACTGTTGATTTAGTTTTATTCAGAGTACAAAGGTAAACAACAAGAAAGAAATGGCGAACAAGGACGGGTCTGGGGATGAGAAAATACGGGGAGACTTTTTGCTTTCGGTGAAAAATCGTGAAAAAGGAAGAGGGAACCGATGCGAGAGGAAAGAAGACGGAGGACAGGAATATGACCGTTTCATGGGAAGGGAATGCAATATTTACGGGGGATGAAATTTCGAAAAAGTATACCGGAGGACGCAGAAACATCCGGATCGAACTGTGAGAACTCTCGAACCACTGTCGCTTCAGAAGATCCATTCAGTAATATATAAGAACTATTATTGAAAGTAATCAAGAGGATTGGATTCTATTTCTGGACAACCTGAGAAGCAATTCGGTTAAATCTTAAGTAATAAACAAAAAAATAACGTGCATTAATACGTTACGGTTATAATGCATCGAAGATTTCGAAGTACTTACTCGGGGATATTCCGCTATAAGTTAATTGATACTTAGCAAACAATAGTGTCGGATACATCGTTAAAAAATTTACGAGAAACGATTTGAATATTATTTTATAGAGAAAATGAGCTTTACTGTTTTTTTTTTTTCGCAGAGCAAGAAAGCTATGAAGAACGTGCGAAAGGATTAACACGGTGGGACCGTTCGTTCAATAGAGAAGCAAAGGGGTAGGACATCCTCCGAGTGTTTTTCCAGGATACCGAACAAACTAATCCCCCTTCGGAATACATACTCGGTCCGATGTCGAAACGCCACGTAACGAAACCAACAAAAGGCCAACAAAGAACAAACGTATGTATCTCAACAAAAAACAATAGCCACCGATCCGTTCTTCCTGGTTGGTTGTTCAAGGAAAAGGAAAATACGACGCGCCTGTTGAACCCGATCATCGCGAAAGACTGTGTCACGAGAAACAGAAGAAAGAGATCATCGAAAAGATTGTTCGTTGAACGGGGGCTACAAGTCGAAGAGTCCGATAAATTGGAACCGTCCATTAGGACTTTCATTAACGGTCGAGTATGAGGACGAACGAAGTTAATCGCTTGGAACTCTTGGAGATACTTTTAGTCGCGACAAAATCAATTGACCGTTCAAAATTACTTCCCTCGCTCTAAATTGCATCAGCGTCCTATATCATTATAACTATCTTGGTATTTTTATGCTACCTTAGTTTACTTGATTATTCGAGGGAGAGGAAATCCGTGTTTGAAAGTTTCTTCGTACAGAAGAGAAATGGGGGTAGCAAAAGTTTATGTTGGAGTTGCTACTCAGTGACCTTAAGCGGCCAATTAATTTTGTCTCAACTAATTGGTTCTCTGGACTCCCGACACCTGCTCCCTTGAACACGAAATCTTTTCATTTCGTAAAAGAAAGATCCCTCTTTTCTGTGTTCGCCTATATTCAACGAAACCGTAAACAAAGAATAATAAAACAAGCGCAACGAGCATATACAGGGTGTCCCCCATCTAACGTAACACTTGTACCATACCGAAGTAATAAAACTATAACTGTTATTTCTATTATAAACTAACAGCGTAAAATTCAGGCACAACCAATCCTCTCTATTATTCCCATCTGCTGAATTTACCTCGAATGTCGCGACACCTTGTTCGATGGATCACCCTGTAGGAGTGCATAACGCATTATACAAAACAGGCAGCATGATCAGCGACGCGCACACGGTGGCTCATAAATACGGACCGACAACGGGTCATTGTTAACAACTTTAACCGTGCTAATGAAGTCGACAGCGAAATACAGTGATCAGGAGCTCGAAAAGAG